CCAGAACAGAGCTATGAGAAGCAGCCACCCTGCACACACTGACACAATCCCACATTTGCCTAACAACTTCTGCCTCCTCCTCAAGAGCTTCCACACGCTGCCCCCGCTCGAGCGCCGATCGTGGCTTCCACCCCTCCCACTCCAGCTCCTAAGGAGACATTGCAGACCTGCCTCACCATGCACCTCATTTTCTAAGTTGTCAGAAACTTGTGGGCATCTGGTAGGTCCAGGGGTGCCGGCACAGGCCCCATGCACACAGGTACAGGCGCTCAAACCCCAGCCACAGAAATTCAGCATTTAAGCAGGTGGCAGATTTGCTCTCTCAGCCCTCACTCCCACTTCATTTCCTGCCTCCATTATGAAACAGTGTCAAAAAAACCAAAAATGTAGGATTTAAGGAAGGCTCTAAAATCCTGTCCTGGCCAAGCAGTCTTCTTTGCGATGCTCTGACAAAGGGAACACATCTGCCTTTCCTAAACTATTCTTGCAGAGGCTTTTTCTTTAATAGGATATGGTGTCTTTATTCAGCATTTTTTTTTTGGGTGGAAATCCAGTCCAGATTCTCAGCTGTCAGATGTTACTCAGCTGCTTGGATAAAATAAGTTTGGTGATCTCAGTACAGTTTACAGCAGGCAGATGTCTACAGCTTAAAATTAGCTGTCATATTTGCCACTGGACATGCTATACTCTCCCCTCCCATCTTACAGGAGCCAGGAGAAGAGCCATACACCGCATGGGCCAGAGCTACACAGGGTACATTCTTTGTATGCTCTGGAGACCCTTCCTCCAGGTCAGGTTTTACACTTGACCAAGGATTTACGGTGAAGGGAATATCTGTCCGTCTGTCTCCCACCAGCAGTGCTTGTGTTTTCTGTCTCTGCTGCACGGAGGAAGCTGCAGCTGCAAAAGCAGTTCCCCAGAAACAAAACTGAAAATCAAATCTAACAGCCTGTGATCTCCTCCTGCAGCCAGGCAGCCCAGAGCAGCAGAGCCCCGGCCCAGCAGGGAGCAGAGCAGCACATCAGCACCCCCCGCTGAACGCGCCGGGGTTTGCTGCCGGGGGCCATGGGAAACTCATGTCATGCCCCAAAACCCAGGGAAAGCTGGAGTCTGTACAAGCAAATATGTGCACGGATAGTCTAAAGCCTATGCAATCGAAAACATGAAAGCAAAGGTCTGCCTCAAGTCTCTGACAACAGCCACATGACTGACATTTAATCCAGTGGGCACACAAAACAATCAAACACTGGAACAGCCTCCCAAGGGAAGTGGCAGATTCCCCAGGATTGGGTGGTTTTAAATCTCAGCTTGACAGGGTATTGAGCCACCTCATACAAACTACAGTAGTACCTTAAAAGATTGGACCAGATGACCCCTGAGGTCCCTTCCAACCTGGCATTCCAAGATGTGATGATTCAAAACCCCAGCTATCCTCGACACATGCCCCAGAACATTCCCTGCTGAGGAGGAGCCCAACCTAGAGGGACTCACCCAGTGCAGAACAGCAGTGAAACACCCTTGCTTATCATCAACACCTGACAACCTCCAGGCAACATCTGCCCAACTAACTAGTGACCCAAAGTCAGACAAGGACTGAAACCTTCTTGACTTCTGCACAATTCAGCTCGTGTGGCAGATCTCACGCTCATCACTCAGGTGAACTGTTACTTCCTGCTGTTTTTTTTTGCATTTTGTTTCATAATCATATTTTCCAAATTATGAGACATTTCTTTTTTAGGGGCTTCCACATCCTCCAGTGCTGAAGAATGAGGAGAAAGATCCAGCCTTGAGCATGCACATCAGACAGGATCTGGAGCTGCCAGGAAGATGACAAGGAAATTCTCCCTGGCAGAACTCCAGTGATCCCAAGCTCATGGATCAGCTGGGCCCAGGGAAAAGAATGTACCCATAGGTTAGAAACCTTTAAAATTAATTAAAAAAAAAAAAAAAAGTGACTTCTTGGGGGTGAACCAGTCCCTGATTGCCCCACAACAACTCAAGCCCTGCTCACCAGCTGCTCCCCAGCAGAGGAGCTGGCACAAACAGCACCACTACTCAGCAGATAAAATTAATACAATTACATCAACACTTTTCCATAAGGACCAACACAATTTATGCAGCAGCAGACAATAATTATCCTGTGACCACACTCTATTCCTGTCCCCTAAACAACCTGTGAGTGAGCTGTTGGGCATGTTTTCAGCTGTTTCAGTGCATTAGTTACAATCCTTCTGAAGCACAGATCTCCACTTCCGCTAATCTCCCAATTTTTACTAAGCTGCAGAGAACAGAACCACCTGTTTAGACAAAGGTGAGTCCTTAAGCACAGAATCTGTGCCTTGTCATATTTTATTTCCTAAACAGAAGAGCAAAACATGGAAAGCCTTGATGCTGACTTATAGCAATGATTCAGAAAAGATTTTCAGTTATTTTTGCTGTTTTTTATAGAAGCTGGCACAGACACACAACAAAGGCTGTACCAGCTCAGACTCAGGTGTCTGTGCATGCCCACGAACACAGAGTATCTGCACAGCCCTTACACAGTGGAAAATGTTTTACAAACATTAGACACCTAATTGAGCAACTAATACAGTGACTATCATCCCAATTTACATTAAATAAATTCAACCACAGAAGTTAAGCAACATCTTCAAGCCAGGAAGGGCCAAAATAGAGAAGAGATTAATACACAGACCCCAGGAAAACATGCCCTGGCTGGCAGAAAGGCAGGAGTGTGCATGGCCTGCACCTTCTGAGCAGCAGGAAGAATAACTGGAAGTAGAAACAAGCATCTCCTACCCACACATTTCTCTTTTAGCAAGATAAAGGAGTAATATCCCAACAACTACAAAAAAGGAAACACTGCACCTCCAAAAGCACTTCATGGTGACAGCTCAGGAACTCTGGCACTGGCCTTATGGCACAAAGAAAAGCCCAGAAGCACGAGGCTGCCTCTGCTCCTCCCGGAGGAGCCTTCCCCGCAGAGCAGGGCAACAGCCCAACGTTGCCCACCAGTGCTTCCATTTCTGCACCTTCTCAGCCTTTCCCAAGATCACCCCATCCATGACTAGTCTCCTGCACCCACCACTTCTGCAATGGAGCTTGGGAAGGAGGAAGGAAGGGTCATGTCAGAGGTCAGGCTCAGAAGGTGGTTGTGCCCTCATTTTTACATTTCAAAGACCACATTTAATTAGCCTGGGGGAGGGAATGACTTACCCACAAACAGGGCTTTCCCAACTTTACAGGCCATGCAACTTGGAGGTATTTATGGACAACATCCAGGTGCCTCTTCAGCAACATCTAATTTAACTCCTTAGAATGACATCACCAGGAAGGCAGCTCCTTCCCAGCTGGCTCCTTAAGCCTTCAATTTCTGACAGTAAACAAGCAGCATAAACCACCTCAGGCCATCAATATTACTTTGAAAACACTGTTCCTCGGAGGCTACTTTCCGTTTTGCTTCCCTTTAAATTTCACCCACTGAATTTTCTAGAGCAACTGCCTCACCTTCTCCAGAAATAGCCCTCTCCTCCCCAGCCCCCAGGAGATCCCCAGCTGCTGCTCCCACACCTGGGACCTCCCTGCCCGCAGACTGTGGCGCTGCTGCTGGGAACCAGCTCCCTTGCTCTTGAGAAGGGAGCCGAAGGAAAGGCTGGGGCTGCCACCACCCCTGCCTCAGGTGACACGTCCTGCTCCCCTAGCAAGGTGCACCAGGACACTTTAGAAATAAACCCCTTACTGGAACCTGAAGCTCTTTAATTACGATAACATTTCGGAGCAGGATTCAGCCCAAGGATTCACCTGCAACTGACATTTTCCCCATTGCCCACAGCAAAGCAGGACGGAGTATGAACTGCTGTGTGTGGATTTCAAATGGTACCAGGGAAGGAACCGGGTGGGATGAAGAAGCACAGAGCACTCAGATCTAGGAGTCTGAGGCTTCCCCTTCTACACCACGGTTCAGTTCTTCCCTCCTCATCCTCACGATGAAGGTCTCTCCAGGCACCAGCAGAGCCTGAGACGGAATGAATGTTATTTCTATTTCTAGGACACTGGAACTCCAGCTGCCTGAAGACGGGCCGGCTCCGCTGCAGGCTTTGCGTTCTAACCCTGGTGCATAGAGAGGCCGTGAGAGCTCACACGGGACGCGGTGCCCGGACAGCCCGAAACGAAGCGTCCCCGGGCAGCGAGCACAGCCCGGCGGGGCCCGGGCCGGGGCCGGGCTCGCAGAACGGCCTTTGCCCCCGGGGCCGCCCCGGGCCCGGGCCCGCC